TAGTGTAGGCATGCCACGTGAATTTCAAGAACAATTATCCTGCACATAACAAAATCTCAACTTCCACATATGAATCCCATGCATGGTTATAATGTATATTGAAAATATCATAATTCTTCAAAATAAGATGATATAATTTCAAACAAAATGCAACATATTTTCATTTTATTTAATAACATAATATTAGTATATTAAATTCAACACCACAACAAAACATAATTTCAAATAAAACACAACTCATACATAATTAAATTAACATACTTTCCACTTCACCAAAATTTGTCATATAAGAAAATATATATTTTATTCACAGGCATACTTTCACAAATTAATTTGAGAAAATAAAAACATAATAAACACCTTACAATCTAAAACATGTATATAAAATAAATTAATCCCGGTTACATCTACTCCAAATTTAACTTCATGGCTTGAGAAATAAGAGTACAAATTACAGACTTCGAAGTACAAGATAATCTACAAATAATATAGATGCGATTTAACATACATACAAATAAATAACTTAAATTATATAGGATTTATTGTTATTGATATATATATACACACACACATATATTTACTATCCAAAAATTCTTACCTCAAATAACATTTTTCTTCCCCCAAATAACTCATTTAAATTATAAAAAATATTGTTTTTATCTAACATTATAAAAATCTCAATTTATAACTTAAGTTTCCAACTTCAAAAAGATTTTCTAATAATATATCTTTAACCTATTTCACATTTTAAATTGATTAAATATCAATAATATACTAAATAACCCAAATAAGTTACTTAACTTAAATTTAATCGATAAAAACATTCTATATATCATGAATAATATATTTTTCAACTAAAATTTTAATTTAAAATTCTCGAAACAATCAATAAATAAATATAAACTGATTAAATTTTAATAATATATCAAACAACTCAAATAAATTATTTGACTTAATTTTAATCAGTATAAATATGATATATATCATAAATGACAGAATTTTTAACAAAATAAATTTGATTTAAATACCAAAAGTAATAAATGGACAAATCTAAACTAATTAAAATTAACTACTCATTTACCTCTAAATCTCTATGGTCATCTATTGTCAAAACTCAATACTTACTCCATATTCAAATCACAAAATCTTCTCTAAACATTATAATGATATTACTGATATAAAGCTCTAAATATATAGAAAATATTCATAAAAAATTTTTAATAAAAAGAAGTATATGTATGTATTTAAATGATCCTCAAAACTTATATTGTCTTTCAAAATGCTAATACTCCTCTGTCTTTTTTCCTATCTCTCTTTCTATGCTTCTCACTCTCACTTTCTCTTCTCTGCTAAAACCTCCGTTTTCCATTTATCTTTCAAACCCCAACCGTTTCATCCCCAATTTTCCTTCTTCATTTATTAATCTCCCCCATTTTTCTTCCTTTAGTAAATGACTTCTCTCCCAAACTTCTCTTCCTTTTAAATGTTCTCAACCTTTTTCCACCGAATTCGGTGGAAAGATGTGTGATTTTTTTTCTTTTTTTTTTAAATTATGATTTCATATTATTTAATTATTATTATTTGAAATAAATTTTTTTAGGATGCTACATATACAAAATAAATATATAGAAAAATTCACCTCAATTTACGAAAAAATGCTTTTAGAAAGTATTTTTAGCCAAATCCAAACACCCTCTAAGATAGGGTTTGGATTAGCTTTTTAAAAGTGATTTTATAATGCACCAAGTAAGCATGTAAGATGAGTTTTATTTTAACTTACATAAAAATAATTTTTTAAGTGCTTGTAAGGATTATTTGGAGTTGCTATCTACTCCTTTAATTCTATTTATAAAACACTTTTGGCAATTTTCACATAGAGTAAGAAAAACCTTAAAATACATTAATTCTTTATAAAAATATAGTAATTTTTTAATTTTATCTATATTTAATAAACACAGCTTTCAAAAGAGATAACTATTTATACTATACTCTCTCCGTCCTTTATATTTTCATAACGTTATTTAAATATATCATATGCAGTTCAAAATGAGATTTGAGGGCTTGTTTGATATGAGATAATTAAATAAAATTAAAAGTCTAGTTTAATAGATAAAAGTATAATTGTATGCTCTTCCACGTGGTCCAAGAGAACTCGTGGACAAATAAATAATTAACCACGGAGAACATTATTAGAGCAAGGAACATCAAAGTCAAACATTCACACACATTGACTTTAAATTTTAAGGATCAAATCTCAATTTCCGCAGATGAAATGAATTCAGAGTCTATTTATATGCATCATTCGAAGACCGAACCATAAAGGCACTGATCACAATGATTCATCTTCCGCAGATATAATCAAATCCCATTTTTCCTGCTGTTTTGATATGGCTGTTTCTTCAACCCTACGCATTCTTCTTCTCTTATCTCTGTCTTTTCGATGTTCTTCATCTTCATCACTTAACAGTGGCTTCTCTCTCTCAGTGGAGAAACCAGAAGATGTTATCCTGTCACAAAACGGCGTCTTCTCTGCCGGCTTTTACCTCGTTGGTGAAAACGCCTGTGTATTCTCCGTTTGGTTCACCCAAACCCTCACTGTCGTTTGGACAGCAAACCGTGACCAACCCGTCAACGGAAAACGGTCATCACTTTCCCTTCTCAAAACTGGAAACCTTGTCCTCTCTGATGCCGGACAGTTCAACGTGTGGTCGACCGGCACCACCTCGTCTTTGCCGACCCGGTTGGTTCTTAACAACAATGGAAATCTAGTACTCTGCGAGAACCAAATACGAGGAAGCAAAATTCTATGGCAGAGCTTCGATTTCCCGACAGACACTCTGCTTCCGGGACAACAACTCACAAGATATACAAAGCTAGTCTCTGCTAGGAGCGAAACCAACTATTCCTTTGGATTCTACAAGCTTGTCTTCGATGACGAAAATGTTCTTAGCCTTCTATATGATGGTCCCGATGTCTCCAGCAAATATTGGCCATCACCGTGGCTTAAGAGCTGGGAGGTTGACAGAAACACCTACAACAGTAGCAGAATCGCAGTGTTAGATTCAATTGGAGGTTTCAGCTCAACAGACAAGTATAATTTCACAACTTCTGATTATGGGGCTTTGATACAAAGAAGATTGAAATTAGATCCTGATGGAAACATTCGAGTGTACAGCCTACAGAATAATCAATGGGAGGTGACGTGGCAAGCCATATCTGATTCTTGTATTGTGCATGGAAATTGTGGTGCTAATAGTACTTGCATGTATGATCCTAAAGAAGGAAGGAAGTGCTTGTGTCTTCCAGGCTATAGAGTGAAGAACCATAGTGATTGGTCTTATGGTTGTGAACCCAAGTTTCAACTCTCGTGCGATAAAAATGAGTCTACCTTCTTCAAATTGTTCAATGTTGAGCTATATGGGTATGACGTTGTCTATGTGAAAAACATCACTTTGAATGATTGTAAGGATGATTGTTTGAATGATTGTGACTGCAAGGCTTTTCAGTACACAATGGACCAGCAAGGCTTATTTCAATGCTTTACGAAAAGAGCTATGCTTAATGGTCATCATTCACCAAGTTTCGAAGGAGCGACCTACTTGAGACTCCCAAGCTCCCTTAGCAGCAATGTTTTGTTCCGTGAAGAAGAAGAACCAACTCAAGAAAATGGTAATGTTTGCCCGGTGAAGCTTGAAAGAGCCTATACCAAGAGACACGTCAGTAGTTTCGTGAAGTTCTTTCTTTGGTTCGCTGTCTCAATTGGGGTGGTTGAAGTCCTTCTCATTTTTACAATTTGGTGTTCTTTGATTACAAAACAAAACTCTAGTAGAAATCAACAAGGATACAATTTTCTCTCTCCTTTTGGGTTTAAAAGATTTACTTACTCTGAGCTAAAACAAGCAACAAAAGAGTTCACAGAAGAAATTGGAAGAGGCTCAGGTGGAATAGTGTACAAGGGAGTGTTGGGTGATCAAAGAATTGCAGCAATTAAGAAGCTGAACAATAACATCGTTGGAGCCAAACAAGAAGAAGGAGAATTCCTCGCTGAAGTGAGCATAATCGGTAGGCTTAACCACATGAACTTAATTGAAATGTGGGGGTATTGTGCAGAGGGAAAGCACAGGCTTTTGGTGTACGAGTACATGGGAAAAGGTTCTTTAGCTGAAAATCTCAAATCAAACACTTTGGATTGGACCAAAAGATACAACATCGCTCTTGGAACAGCAAGGGGTCTAGCCTACTTACATGAAGAATGCCTAGGAGTGGATTCTGCATTGTGACATAAAGCCCCATAATATTCTTCTGGATTCCAATTACCAACCCAAGGTAGCAGATTTCGGCTTATCCAAGCTTCAAAATCGCAATGACCAAAACTCCAAAAATTTCTCAATTATAAGAGGAACGAGGGGGTACATGGCACCTGAGTGGCTTTTTAATCTGCCAATAACGTCAAAGGTGGATGTGTATAGCTATGGGATCGTTGTGTTGGAGATGATAACAGGAAGGAGTCCGACGAGGATGGGAACTGGGACTGATGAAGACGAAGGAGCAAATAATGGGAACCTTTTGACATGGGTGAGAGAGAAGAGGAAGAAAACGACGTCGTGCAGTTGGGTGGAGCAGATACTGGACGCAGCCATTGTATCAGAGTATGGGGTTGAGAAGAGAAAGATGGAGACTCTGGCTAAAGTGGCTATGGAGTGTGTGGAAGAAGACAGGGATGCGAGGCCCACCATGAGCCAAGTTGTTGAGATGCTTCAGAGCCAGGAAGATGATGCTTGTTAGTCATCTATGGCGGCTTACGAATTTACATGCAAATTCTCTCCAATAATATTGCATCTTGTGATATGATAATATGATAAGAGTATGTCTGACTCCATACTATCTAAACATATTAATGAAGGGAACAGACTAACTGCATTAGTAGTAAATATTATCTAAACACACATATTCTGTTACCATAGAAAAAAACACAGTTAATAGTCATTGGGACAAGGATAGAATCCAAAGACACCAAACTGAAGGTGAATATATAGAACAGTATTAGATAAACCATATGATAACATTCTTGACTCATAATTCTTCAACATCATACAACCAGACTGAGCACTTTTAATATATAAGTTAACAAAGATGTCTTCAAACTTTGGATCCTCACGTTTAAAAAAAGAAAAAAAAAGAACTTAATTTTACTGATGGTTCCTCAACTGCCATTTTCCAAATAAACTAGTGAGTGATTCCCAACCAAAACAGCGGCAGATGAAGTTGGGATTTTTGTCAATTCAACTCCTCAATTGGTGCCGCCAGAGTCATTCTGGTTATGTTCTCCATCAGCATCAACCACCAAATTGGGATCTTCAGGTCTAAATCCTAAGCTTTCCATAGGCAAGTTTTCAATGGAACCATCTCCTAACTGTCCAGTAACCAGTCTCATTATGTTATGGATAATGTTGATTTGTTCAAGCTCAAACTCGTGATCTGGAGTGTGCTGCTGATTGAACCGACCCGGAATCTTGCTGCGAATTTTATAACAGTCCGCACAAAGATCAAAACCAATCTTCTCCTTACAGTCTTTGCATCTGTATCTATCCCCAACAATTGGAAACATCTGAACAGACAAGCCTTGTGTTACCACACTAGAAAACTAGAAGTATCAAAGAAAATGACTGAAAACCCCCGGGGTGGGGGGAATGGGGAATCAAAGTGTGGGGGTATTATGATTTCTGATGTCTTAATTTTGTTTCTTCTGCATAGCTTCTTGCCATGGCCTTTGCATTCCAAAAAATAGAAATATCAAATCAAAAGAGCTCTCTAAACGCCCTACAAATCTGCAATGCAAACCCCTTAGCATTATTCATGAACCCACAGCTCAATGGAAGCCAAGAGAACGACTTTAATTCAGAAAAGATGGGAGGAAAAGAATTTCTCAAAGAGAAGTCTAGCCTTAGACTTCATTCATACACCAAGAATCCTAGCAGTAGTCCTCATCAGTCATTTCATAACATCAGGAACTAAACAAAATACAACTACATGGTTGCATAAGGAACAAGGCATTAGTATAAAAGACCACTACCATCCTGGGTCAATAAAATAAGGTTTCTACTTGGTAATGTTCGTTGCTCATTTCCACGTGAACAACCCCAAATATAGATAAACATCAAGGGGAAAAAAAAATACAAGCAAAAATTCAAGAAAGGAAAGATTAGAGATTTTACATACCCCACAAAAATCACAACCAACTCCAACATGTACTTTTGAGTGAGGATCAGACCACAATGCTGCTCTTCCTCCGCCATCATTATTCAGTGAACCTGGAAGCAGAAGCTAAAGCGTAACTAGGAGATACCAATAAGATGGAATAATATTATTAAAGAAACACTGAAGTGAATCAAATTTCGAATGTGTAAGAAAGGGGAAAATTGTAAGAGGGAAAACTTTTACATATAGGGAAAGAACCAATTAGTAGGAATGACAAAAACTTAATGTGAGAATCATCATCGAAACTCAAAGAAATTAATAATTGAAAACAAACATGTCCCTCAAGAATAAACTTGGAACGATTAGCATGAGGTGGCTAAAACACGCAAGTGTATCAGCCAGAAGTTTGAAACAATGACATTGAAAAGAGGAGAATTAATGATATGACAGAAAAGGGGAATGGGCCGAGTAGAAAGGCTGGAGGTTGAAGCACTATGGTTGTGGCCTGCATCTGAACTTACACAAGATGAGAGGAGAAAACAATTGGATGAGCCCATGCATCTTCCTAAATCATAATGGTCAATGATTTCCAAATCATAACAGCCAATTCCGCTTATCAAAGTACTCCTCTAGTCCTTAATATAGGACCTAATTATTGAGTTGATCTTGATCCTAAATATAAGACCTATTTATCACATTTATCAATTTTTTCTAAATTACCCTTATTGATGCTCCCTTAACCATTATCAAGTAGGACATGAAAGAAGGATATGAAGAAAGATGATTATGCTATTTTAGAAAAAACATGTCATATTTTTTATAATTAACTAATTTACCTGACTTTATTAATCTAATCAAATTAGTTAAATAGGTTTTGTATTAAGGACCGGAAGAGTAACTTTTGTTTTCTTTTCTTTAATAATCAACAATAATAGATGTCAGCTTACTATATGGAATCTCCCTAATATACCATATATTTTATGCATGTGCTATTTCCTACGATTTATTTTGAAGGATTGATTATCCTAAAAGTTTCTTAGAAGAAACTTGATTTCCTCATGGATTCATCAACAGAGTACAATCAAATTATACTAAAACCAGGAGGCAAAGATACATACAAGAAGGGGTATCAGGTTTATCGTTGATATGCCTAAGTTGAACAGCATCTCTTTGCTTTGCATATTCCTCAGGAAATTCTTCCTTTATAAAGTTATCAAGCTCCAAACAAACTTTTGGAAATCCCCTTGGATGTGGAAGTTGACAAATTTGGCATATAAGCATCTCATCAGCTGAGTTCTTGATGCAAGACTCACAGTATACTGTAGAGAATGAAGAAAAAGCAGAGAAGTTATGTATCAACTGAATAGATTTTCTATCAATGGTCTTATTATTTTAGAAACGAGAGGTAAATATTGTGCATAAATACCATGACCACAGTTAAGAACAACAGGATGAAAAAGCAGTTGCTTGCATGTTGAACACATCACATCTGCAACTGATATCCTCTGCTGCCTATCATTCTGAGGCAGCACTTTTGCTTGAGCAGGAGTCCCGAGAGCTTCAGGAGTTCCACCAAAAACATCTTTAGAACAGATGGTTCCCTTATGTTGCATTTCAGTTTCTGACCCTGATGGCTCCATACTTGCAGAAAGTCCTATATTCTGCGGGTTGGAAACCAGATTCCCGGTATAGCAGGAAGATGAAGTACCTAGATGATCAAGCTTAACTTCTGATGCAAGATTATCACCATCAAATTGAGGAGAGTAGCAGCCCCCTTTCTTTTCTTCCTCTGGAAAAAGGAAACAGATAAACCGTTGCTTCAAACTTTGCCAGAAGAAGACAAAAAGGAAAACTCGTCTTTTTGTAATATATGCAAATGTACTTGAAAGAAAGTGACAAGAAGAAGGGGAAACCGAAGCTTACAAACAATATACGAGGACAAACCAAGAATCAAAAGAACACGAAAAAAGTTTTACATGTTACACCAAAAAGAGTACAAATACGACACGAGGAAAAAAAAAAAAAAGCCTCCAATAAACAGAGCAACAGAAATTTATGGATATGCATTCTGCTTCAAAAAGTAGACCTCCAGAAAGTTCTTATCCTTGGAGTTTACTGTCATCACATGCACTTCAAACACATATGATGAATTTCGATTTTCTCTTTTTGCTGCGTATCAAGAATTTCAAAAGAAATGACTTTTTGATTTACCAAGAACTATTTTGACTCTGAAGTTTAAGATGTCAAATGAAGGTCTATTAATAGTTTTTATTATAATTTTTAATATGCCTAGTTACATAAAAGTCTTTTGACCTTAAATTATGGCCATGTCAAAATTCAAAGGTTCACTTTGCCCTGTGCAGAAACATAATTTCAATTAAGGAAATCAGATCAGCTTACTCAACACATTTTGAACATGTGAACTGAGGAACAGTAACAAGCACCAGCATCAATGACTTGGCAGTTTTTGACAGAAAAATTTACTAAATCTAGCACCAACACATTTTAATTTATTTTCCTTCTGCGAGAAGATAAATTAAAAGCAAGGACCAAAAGTGGCAAACTGCACGCACACACGTGCTCATGCACAAGGCCCCGGAAAAAGGCATACCAAGACTTTGAATTTCCCTTTTCTTGTAAGCAACAGGATACATCTTCAGAAGCAAGAAGTGAAGCATCCAACAGATTGCAGGAAAGTGATGATACGGATGCTCACAACTTGGACAATGAGACTCAAAAAGGGGGCTCATTGAGTGGTGGACACACCAGAAACAGGATATGTGGCCGCAAGCTGAAAATGAAAAATAATAGGCTTACAGGATTCTAATCAGAGTGAAACAATACTAATTTTTCCTTAATGAAGATAATGTTGACTTACGCAGCACAATAGGCTTGCATAATAGATCCCTGCATGATCAAGTTAGACTTAGATTTAGCAAACAAAACCTTAAAAATGGAGTCAAAAATAAAAACCAAATAAAGTTGAATTCAGAATCGTTCCTAGTTCCATAGATCAACGCATTCATCAACCAGAATTTAATTGAAATATGTGACGGGGGAAAAAAATGTGACTTCCAAATTATCACCATTAACTCAACTCGATCTTCGAAAACCAAAATTCCATGACCCTTTTCCAATCATGAAAGAAGATATCGACATACTATAGATCAACATTAACAGATGGCTTGGAGATGCTTCGCTTTATAATGATGAAAAGAAACTTACAGGCAAACGCAGCAAACAAAGGATTTCGAGAATTCTTCTTGCTCATTGTCGGGAAGATTTGCATCTTCGTTTGCTTTCTCCATTCTCTGTAAGGCCATATTTCCGGAGCCGGGAACAGAGAGAAGGGTAACACCAGATGATTAGCGAAAGCAAGATGAGGTTCTGAAGAACTGAGTAAGAAAGTAAAAACTCAGCATTTCATCATGCTGCGAGTAAAGCTATGATCGGCCAATAGGAACCTCCAAGCATCCGGCTTACTGTAGGAATCAACAAGTCAACCTGTTATTGACTGTGGCTCTGTTTGGATAGCACGGTTTGGGGATCCAAACCATGGTTTGGGGATCCAAACCATGGTTTGGGAAAAATGCTACCCAAACAGCCTCTCCAAAAACCAAAACCATGGTTTTGGGTCAAAACTATGGTTTTGACTCCAAAACCATGGTTTTGGAAAAAGCAAAATTTTTTTGCTTTTGGAGAAAAAAGGGAGAGTGTGAGGGCCTATATGATATGTATCTTGTTATTTTTTTTATAAATATATTTAATCTTATATTTTATAAATATATATAGACATTAATTATTTATTAATTATATTATCTTATGTATTATTAATTATGTTGGTAAAAAACATATTATTAACAATTTTATTTCTTCAAATTAAAATATATCATAAAATTTATTTTTTCTGTAATTATCATATTAACTTATGTCTTTTTTTTAGTAATTTGTATATATAAAAAGTGCTTCTGATAACAACTATCCAAACACTCTCACTTCTCAGAATCACTTTTTTACAAAATCTATTCTTCACAGAATCTATTTTTTCCAGAATCTATTCTCCAGAATTACTTTTCCAAACCACGGTTTGGTTTCATCCAAACACACCCTTTGTATAATTGCCCAGTTTCTCTGCTTTCTTGAAGCTTTGTTCCTGCCCTTCTAGTGTAATATTACTTTCTGTGATTAATATAAGAATTTATTTGATTTTTATTTTGATTCTAAATATAATATCCTAATTCATTTTATTTTTTATATTTATCTATTTTTTAAGATAATCTTTATATTAGTTGTACATATTAAATGTTTCATCAAATGATATTTAATTAGTAAGGATATTTTAATAAAGATAACATTTATTTATTACAAATAATTAACTCAATTAATTTTCTTAACCTACTCAAATTAGTTAACTAGTTCTTATATTAATATCAAAAGTAATAGTATTTGATAGCAAGATGTTTGGAGACAAACTCAAATAATAAATGGGTTAAAGTAGAAATTCGTTTGGCAAGGTTTTATTCAAGAGCGTTAGTATTGGATGCTCAAAAATTTCATTGGGCACATATTTGCCTTGTAAGTTTAAAACCGTAACAAATTTGTTCTTACCATTAAAAATGTTATCAATCACTTAGTTTTTTTAATAATAAGGGGTAATATTGTCATGACATCATAATAAATTACTCCTCCGGTCCTTAATATAGGACCCAATTGTTGAGTTGGGTTTGGTCCTAAATATAAGACCCATTTCTCATATTTATCAATTTTCTCTAAACTACCCCTATGGATACTCCCTCAACCATAATCAAATAGAAGAGGAAGATGAGGTATTAAGAAAGATAGATTATGGTGTTTTAGGAAAAATGTATCACTTTTCTTATAATTAACCAACTTACCTAACTTCTTTAATCTAATCAAATTAGTTAAATGGGTCTTATATTAAGGACCGGAGGAGTAATAAATAAATACACGCATCATTCCCCCTTTTTAATTTTGTGCCTGCGTATCTCATTCTGTCATAAAATGCTCTTCATTTTTTTTTAGCAAATACCCTTTTTGTTGGCCAACGCATCTTTCTTTGTCTCTAACTCCATCACAATACCTAATAATATCCATAATAAAGACATCTTATGAACTTTGTTTACCAATTTGAAGATATTAAAGAAGTTAATCAAATTATTTAATTTTGACAAATATGATACAATCTCTCAAATACTCTTATATAACATTAGATTAAATATAAATTTAAAAGTTAGATAATTTGTTTTAAAAGATATGATATATAAAATGAATTAATCTCTTATACTTAATATTAAAGTCAGTTTCTTAATTGGCTTCAATTTAGGATAGAAAGAGTAATTTATAACTAATTAATAAAAAAAAAAATCTAGTTCAACCTCATATTTCTTTTTATTCAGGCACATGTGCTTCTCTTTTTCCTCTCCTCCGTAGGTGGGGTATGATTTTGGTGTCTTTACACTTTCCAAGATAAAAATTCCTCACATATATATTTATTTGGTACTCATATGATCTTATTTATAGAATAGAGAAAGAATACATTTTTTTTGTCTTATTTATAAGATAATAAGAGAAATTTTTTATGATGTTAACTTTATTTACATAAGGTATAATGTATATTAAATAATGATAAAGTTAGAAATTTATTGAATTTTAAATAGAGTTAATGAAGTCTAAAAATTTTTTTTGATTTATGTAAAAGATGTTAACAGTGATTTATAAATATGACCAGAAAAATACATCATAAAATCCCTTAAAATAAACTAATCTAAATACAATTCAAATGCAGAAGTGAATGCCATTTCCTCATAAATTACTCCTACCTTTTATAAACAAATTACGTGATTTAAGAAAAAAGTTAAAATTAGTTAACAAAAATATAAAATTGAACTTTTCCCCCTAATATACTATATATAATAAGGGGATCAATAAGGTAAAGGATAAAGAGAATGTATTATGTATTATGAGAAAAAGGTGAGAAAAAAGAATAGGAAATTAAATATAAGCAAAATTAATAAAAGCACATTTAATGTTTAAACACATTTAAACAGTATCTTATGAAAAAGATCAAACCAATGTGATCTTATAAAAAGCAACATAAGGGAATACTCCCCACAACCTTTTATGTATATGCCTTTTCTCTGTTTTTGTTTTTTTTGGGACTAAAGCATACATATTCTTCTGTTGAAGACAATCATATTCGAGAGATTACTTTTTGCTAACAAAGATTCGAACCCTAGTTTTTTATATTATGAAGGACTAATTACTTTTATTAGACCTGAATCTCATTGGTTTCAACTTTTCTCTTTTCTCTTTTGATGACAACCTTGCCATCTCTTCTTCATATATTAGAGTCACAGTGTTGATAAGTCATTAAAAACGTATTTTGAATTCAAAGCCAGAGTTGGAAGCTTGACCCCCCCCAAAAAAAAAAGCAGAGTTGGAAGCAATTTGCATTGGAAGGTTAATACTACCACCCCCGATTTTCAATATAAAAATTAGTTAATTAATTTAAATATATAAAACATACTAGTCAAGTTAGTTATTTATAATAAATTTGTATTATTTTTTAAAAAATATTCTTGCTAATCAAGTATACTCGTTAGAACTATCATTATTACAGGGGTTACCTTAGAAAATAATGGATAAATATAAGAGACAAAATAAATTGAGATCTTATATTTAGGATTAAAATAAAAATCAAATGGTTCTTTTATTAAAAACCGGAGTTAGCACCTCGCAACCAAGAAAATTAATCAGGGGAGTTTTTCAAACTAATGGTAATTACTAATTAAACAAATAATAAATGCCCCAAACTCTTGATGAAATGGACCGACCTAATATTCCACCTCCCAGCTAAACCCATGGAAGTCCTCCGTGGCGTTGATGGAGTCACATTGCTTGGCCAATCACAATACAACTACAACAATGCAAGATTTTTTTGCCATGACAATATATGTATATATATTTACCGGTGATATTGATTGATTGATGATTAAAAAAAAGATTTTTTTATTTTTTAAATGTTTAAATACATCATTCTTTTTATAATAACAAGATAACTGAATTACGTGATTTAAAAATAGAATTAAAAATAATAAATATGTAAAAAATAAACATGGCAATGACAGTTCTTGTTCTTGCCCATCAAAGTGTTTGGTTTTAGAGGTGAAGGCAAATCCTATCACTGCAACAAATCGATCGCAATTCCTCATCAAGCCATCTACTACTATATACTAGTTCTAGTCTTTAATATAAGAATTAGTTAATTAATTTAAATAGATTAAGAAAATTAGTTAAGTTAGTTATTTGTAATAAATAGATGTTGTCTTTTCTAAAATACCCTTACCAATCATATGTATTAGCAATGGTATTTTAATATGTGCAACTACTAAAAGGGGTATTTTAAAAAAATTAAAAATGAATAAGTACAAGAGACAAAATGAATTGGGATCTTATATTTATGATCAAATTACAAGTCAAACTAGCTCTTATATTAAAAACAAGAGGTAGTATTTATTTATAAAACATTTTAATGGATTTTAACGGAATGAAAAAAAGTCTTAAATCTCATTACTATTTTAAAAGTTAATAATTTGTTAACCTTATATATTACTTCCAGTCTTAATTATAAGATCTCGTTTATAGACTACAAATGATGTCTTATAATTAGGACCGGAGGTAGTATTTATTAAGAAAATAACAATAAAAAATTAGAGGAAAAATTCTACATTTTTCTTTTAAAAAGATTCTACATTCATATATAAGAACTAATATCCCTAAAGTAAAAAATAATATCAATATTAACGACTTTGACCAACAAGACTAGAGAAGGAAAAAGAGAACCTGAACGATCCAGAAAAATAACCACTAGCATCCCTAAAATTAACTTTAAGTAATAAAGCTTTTTGAGAACCATCATTTCCTCAATATCATGTACTCAGCTCTTCGGTTTTTATATAAAACAAGAACTCCTGGACAAACATATAATTAACCACGTGGAAATAAAAAAGGGCACAATTTTCTCTCTCCTTTTGTTCAAAGAATTACTTCAAGCTAAAACAAACAACAAAAGGGTTCACAAAAGATGCTCAGGTGGAACTTCATTAGAGCCAAACAAAAAGAATGAGAATTGTTAACTGGAGTGAGCACAGTCGGTTGGCTTAGCTTAGCCACATAAATTTGATTGAGATTGAGGGTTCACAATTTATATATAGTTTTTTTTTTTGTGAATGCAAATTTTAGATGAGTTAGGTCAAGGAGCTTACCAAGATTAAGATATACTTTCAGGTTCAAAGAGTGTTTGCAGAAATATTTATAGATTATAGATCACTCACCAAAAGATCATCATATCAATAGCATCATTTGAATTCATTGACCTTGTAGGCTATGATTTGATTTTTTATTAACTGGGCCAACACTTGGCACATTTTATATATGGTTCAATATATGATAATGATCATTACGTGTCTCTCCTTTTTTTCCCCCCTG